TGCACGTGTGTTACCAATGGGGGGTATGTGTGTGTGTGTCTGTGGGTCTCTGTGTGTGTATATGTGACCATCAGGATGTGTGTGTGTGTGTGTGTTTGTATGTGTGTCTCTGTGTGTGTGACCATCATGACATTTGTGTGTGTGTGTGTGTGTGTGTGTGAGAGAGAGAGAGAGAGAGAGAGAGACCATTAGGACATGTGTGTGTGTGTTTGTATGTGTGTCTCTGTGTATGTGTTACCACCAGGACATGTGTGTGTCTGTGTGTTACCACCAGGACATGTGTGTGTGTGTGTGTTACCACCGGTTTATATTATGGTGGGGTGAGGACATGTGTGCCACAGCAAGTGTGTGGAGGGACAACTTGATGGAGTCTGTCCTCTTCTTAACACGGTTTCTAGAGATCGAACTCAGCCCTCCATCTTATTTTTCGCTCTTTTTGCTATCTGGTCTGTGTCTGTGTGGTATGTGCTTATGTGTGCATACATGTTCTCATGTGTTTAGATGTACATGTGTGTTGACTGTGGAGGCTCAAGGCTGACATTAAGAAGTCTCTTTGTTTGTGCATTTGTTTTTGTTATTGTTTTTTCGAGATAGGGTCTCACTATGTAGCTCTGACTATCCTGGAACTCTGTAAACCAGGCTGGCCTCGAACTCACAGAGATCTGCCAGCCTCTGCCTCCTAAGTGCTGGGATTCAAGGTATGGGTTACCATGTCCCACACCTTTTTTTTTTTTTTTAAGATTTATTTTTAATTATGTGTATGCATGTGGACATTTGCATGTGAATGCAGGTGTCCTTGGAAGACAGAGGCTTCAGTTCCTCCTGGAGCTGGAGTTACAGGCAGTTGTGAGCTGCCCGACTGTGTAAAGACTGTGTAAGGAGCTGGCAACCAAGCTCATGTTCTCTGCAAAAGCAGTCTGCACTCTTAACCCCTGAACCATTTCTCCGCCCCAGGAGGTCTCCTTGCCTCACTCTCCTTTGCCACCTAATTTTCTGAGACAAGGCCTCTCCCACTGCACTCAGGGCTTCCCTGTTGGCAGACTGGCTTTCCCAGCACTGGGGTTACAGGTACACCCCCACTGAGCCTGGCTTTTTACTCAGGTGCTGGGATGTATGAGATTGAAGGTCTCATACTTGTGCAGCAAGCATTTTCCTGACCGAGCCAAGTGGGATTTGGGTAGCAGAGTGTAAGAGGCTTGTCACCCAAGGCCATCTACCTTCCGACACCTCCTGTGTGGTGGATGCCGGGCTTGCTGGAGAGGTCCTCTCTGCTGCAGAGCCAAGGGCCACGAGGAGAGTCCGAGGCTTGGAACTGTCATCTTCCATTCTCAGGGTCTGCTTGGGTACCAGAGAGGGACCTGTGAGCGGAAACAGCACATTGAGAGCGCCCCTTCGCGGGGCACTGAAGTGTCCTTTACTCCTCTTGAGACCTCTTGGCGATCCCCACTGCTGTGGAATAAGCCTTCTGTACACTGTGAAGATGTGTTGCTCTCATCTTTAATAAAAAGCTGATTGGCCTATAGCTAGACAGGATTTTTGGGGCGGAGAGAATGCTGGGAAGAAGAAAGGGTGGAGCCAGGGAGTCAGGAGAGTCACTAGCCAGATGTGGAAGAAGCCACATGGTTAAGTTCATAGATGAGGTAAATGAGCCTCGGGGCAACACATAGACTAATAGATATGGGTTAATTTAAGTTGTAAGAGCTGGCTGGAGTCAAGCCTAAGCTATCAGCTGAGCATTTATAGTTAATAATAAGCCTTTGGCCGGGCGGTGGTGGCACACCTTTAATTCCAGCACTCGGGAGGCAGAGGCAGGCGGATCTCTGTGAGTGCGAGGCCAACCTGGTCTCCAAAGCGAGTTCCAGGAAAGGCACAAAGCTACACAGAGAAACCCTGTCTCAAAAAAACCAAAAAAATAAAATAAAATAAGACTTTGAATGGTTATTTGGGAGCGCTGCTGAGACGCAGAGAAACTCCACCTACACCCCACTACTGGAATAAGAAAAATGAGGGACAAAGAGTGGATAAAACATCTGGCCAAGGTCACAGAGCTGGAAGTGAGGTCTGGTCTCCTACTCAACAGGCTTAAAAGTGGAACTGCTTCTCAGGACAAGGGACAGGCCAGCCTGGGCAAGCAGCCTCTGTGCAGAAGTGGCACACTCTGTGTGGCACACTTAACTGTGGCACACTTGCCGTTGGGTCTGCAGGGCAGGTGTGATGACCCCCACCCCCTACCGACGGGAAAACCAAGGTGTCGCCAAGTTTGCTGTTCTAATCAGTTAACTGTTGATTCTCAAGCATCTGCTATAACCAAGACATCATTGTAATAATTAACTGAAATAAAAAACTGAGACAGGCCCTCAGGGCCTGTGAAGAGCAGCCTCTCTCCCGAGGTCTCAGGCCACAAGGTGGGACTAGACCCTTCCCTGTTGCACTGGCCCTCACACTTGGTCCCTGAACTGACTGCCACCGTGGCCACACTCCCTCCTGCTGCATGCCACCTCCCCACCCAGGTCCTGCCAACCGGACCCTGCCACCCAGAAGAAGGGTGTTAGGGCCAATCAACCTCTCCACTCTGCTGTTCAGTGGGGTCCAGGCAACCCTTATCACTGACCTCTGCAGCTGGCTGGGGGTTGAGAGTCCTGGTCACTGCCGTCACCACAGTTGTCCATGTCCCAGTCGTCACACAGCAGGCTCCAGGGCACACACCTGCTATTCCGACAGCGGAAGTAGGTGCCACAAGACCCTGGGTGGAAAAGGGAAGCTGGAGCCCAGCGGCGGTGGGGCACGCGCACGCCTCTTCATCCCAGCACTCAGAGGTAGACGCAGGCGGATCTCAGAGAATGCGAGGCCAGCCTGGTCTACAGAGTGAGTTCCAGGACAGCCAGGATTGTTTCGCAGAGAAACACTGTCTTGAAAAAAAGGGGGGTAGGGGCGAGGGCGGGGGAAGCTGGGAATAAGGATCCTAGATCAGCTACTACAACAGCAGCGTGGCCCACGGTGACAGAGCTGCTGGGGTGGGGCAGGACAAGGCTGCTGTCAGTACATACATGGAAGGTGCTTCCTGGGGCGATTGCAGTACAGTCTTGATGGCAATAAATACAGTGACAGGCGGAGGTGGTGGTAGTTGGTGATGGTGGTGGTGGTGATAACGCTGTGGGAGTGATGGTGCTGGTAGTTGGTGGTGGCGATGGTGATTGTGAAGGGGTGGTGGTGGTGGTGGTGGTGATGGTGGTGATGGTGGTGATGGTGGTGGTGGTGGTGGTGGTGGTGGTGGTGGTGATGGTGGTGGTGGTGGTGGTGGTGGTGGTGGTAGTGGTAGTGGTGGTGGTGGTGGTGTGCTGACTAACACCTGCGGAATTCATAAAATAGGTAGCCTAGGCTGTTCTTGAACTTGCTATGCAGCTGAGGATGACCTTTGACTCCTCTGGCCTCTACCTCCCAACTGCTGGGATTACAGGTGTGCATTACCATGTATGTACTGATTTATGAAATGCTGGGAACCAAACTCGGGGCTTCTTTGAGCTAGGCAAGCCACACCTCAACCTCTTTAATATTTTTTAAGGATTTATTTATTTATTTTATGTATATGAATGCTCTATTGACTATACCAGAAGAGGGCACCAGATCCCACTATAGATGGTTGTGAGCCACCATGTGGTTCCTGGGAATTGAACTCAGGACCTCTGGAAGAACAGCCAGTGCTCTTAACTGCTGAGCCATCTCTCCAGCCCCATTATTTAATATATTTAAATCATTTATTTTTAGATAGGTCTCCTAATGTGACCCAGTCTAGACTCAAACACTTTATCCTGCTTCAGCTTCCAAGGGCTGGGATTACAGGTGTGCACCACCATGTCCACTTTTAGCTCTGTGGAGCAGTACTAAGACTGAAGCAAGCCGGGCAGTGGTGGCACACACCTTAGTCCCAGCACTCGGGAGGCAGAGCCAGGCAGATCTCTGTGAGTTCCAGGTCAGCCTGGTCTACAGAGTGAGTTCCAGGAAAGGCACAAAGCTACACAGGGAAACCCTTTCTTGAAAAACAAAACAAGACTGAAGCAAGGGGAATTTGGATCAGCTGACCACCATGGCCACAAGGCTTGTACCTAAGTTGGAGGCAGAATGAATTCGAAGTTCATGTCAGTATCGTGCAGTGGTGTGTGTAAGGGAAGATGGGACCCTCAGAGTCAGGACAGGACATACCCAGACACCAAACTCTCGGCACAAAGGAGATTTCTTCCTGGGGGTGGGGGGCAGTGGGGGTGTTGCCAAAGCAGACAGCAAGCAGCAGCAGCAAGTGTTAATATTTTGACAGCTCCTTGGGGTCGCCCTGCGTCCTGACATACTAGCCCAATTTAAGGAAAAACCCCTCCTTTCTCTTCCGGCTCTCTCTCTCCATTCCCAAGAGGTGTGCACCCTTGACACCCGCCCCCCCTTTGTTCTGTCTTTCCCTCCTTTTTTCTATTTTTCTCTTCAACTCATTTCCTCTCGGATGCAGCGCCTGGGTTGTGACTGACATGTCACCACCCGCCACTACATCTGCCCAGCATGTTTTCTCTGACGCGTGGGATACCCTGGCCAGCCGGGGTCCCATGCATGCAGTATCACAACAGCAAGCAAGCAAGCAAGCAAGCGTTTGTTGTCAGAGTGGGCTTTTAAGGAGAAAAAGGGAGAGTCTGTGTTACTGTTGAAAGGACCAAGCAGATGCCATCACAGGCTGCTCAGTCTTCTCTCGGAGATCAGGCCTCAATTTCAGTTTCCTGAGACTTGAGCAAGCAGTTTCTGGGAGGGCCATGAACAAGACATAGTCCTTGCAGTAGCTCCCTTTCTGCACATACTCTGACTGCTCAAGGTTCAGCCAATTGTTTACTGTCTGGGACCCCTCACCAACTTAGAGCTACAGGCATGGGTCAATGTGAAAGCCTGGTCCACTGAGCCAGCCCCCACAGTCAGTACATGCTAGGCCAGCCAGCCTCCATGGCAGTTCAAGGACAGAGCCTGGCCAGGCGGTGGTGGCACATGCCTTTAACCCCAGCACTCGGGAGGCAGAGCCAGGCAGATCTTTGTGAGTTCGAGGCCAACCTGGTCTCCCAGGCGAGTTCCAGGACAGGCACCAAAACTACACAGAGAAACCCTGTCTCAAAAAACCAAAAAAGAAAAAGAAAAGAAAAAAAGGACAGAGCCTGGACCACTAAGCAGCCCCCACAGTCAGTACATGCTAGACCAGTCAGCCTCCATGGCAGCTCAAGGACAAAGCCTGGCACTTGTCCAGGCCTGCCCAAAAATGGTAACTGTAACCCCCAACTAACCCTAGGCAATTAAAAGTTACTAACATGATTGCTACTCACATAAACCAATCCTGAGTCTGTTCCTATGTAGTCTGTAGACCCAGCCCCCCTGGCTTTGAAAACCCTGCCCCATTGCTAACTCGGAGTCTGTCCTGCTCTGCTGCTGTGTCAGACGGACAGACGGAGAGCCCCAAGTTAACAATACAAAGACTCTTTGCTTTTGCACAGGATTTGGTCTCTTGGTGGTCTTTGGGGGACTCTGGGTACAACACTGTGAGTTGGTAAGTCCTGATTGGACATGCTAGCCAAATAATGAATTTTGATAGTTGGACCTTGGTGTTTTGTCTCAGGAATGAGTCAGTGGCCAAATAAGGGAATGGACCTTGGGGGCTAGCTTTAGGAGTGTAATCCAACTTTTTTTTTTTTTTTAAAGCAAAGGGGAGAAGAGTAAAAGCCAAACCTCCTGGTACCATGTTTGCCATGATCCGGCCTGTCTTATGCCACGATCGGGCCTGCTAGAGCCCTTCAGTGTGAGTATGGGTCTGTGCTCCTGCATGCACCTATGGCCTCCAGAATCACGATGTCCTCAGCCCCTCGCACACCCTGGCTCCTAGCCTTTCCCTTACTATTGATGGTTCTAGAATTCCCTTCCTTAAGTGGGACATGGTGGCCTGCACGGCTCATTCCATCAGATCTCCACTCAGAAGGGACTCTGACCAGCTTAAATGTGGCAGGCATGGCTCTGGCTGGCCCTTCACTCTCAGTCCCTCTGCCTTGATAAAAAACCATTAGATAGGGCTGGAGAGATGGCTCAGAGGTTAAGAGCACTGACTGCTCTTCCAGAGGCCATGAGTTTAATTCCCAGCAACCACATGGTGGCTCACAACCATCTGTAATGAGATCTGGCACCCTCTTCTGGCCTGTAGGGATATATGCAAGCAGAAGCAGAACACTGTATACATAATAAATAAATAAATCTTTAAAAAAAAAAAAAATTAGATGACATTCCTAAAGCTAGCTCCCAAGGTCTGTTCCCTTATTTGGCCCCTTTCTCCTCCTGAGACTGACTACTAAGGTCCAGCTATTAAAGTATTGAAGTTCAGCAATCAAAAACCCCCTTTGGTTCACCTAATTAACCTGTCTAATTAAAATTAAAGACCTAACATGGGGCTTCTCATTTGACCTTTCTAAACTGCCATTTGCCTATGTGCCATGTCTGTCTCCTCTCTGTCCAGAGACAGTCTTTTGTCCCCCTCTGGGACAAACATCCCTGCCCCCTCTCTCTTGTTCCCTCCCCCTTCTTCCTCTATCTCTTCTTCTTTGTCTCTCCCTCTCTCTCCCTCTCTCTCTCTCTCTCTCTCTCTCTCTCTCTCTCTCTC